TTTTTTGTTTTTTGTTTTTTGTTTTTTGTTGTTGTTGTTTGGTTTTTTTTGTTGTTGTTTTTTGAGACAGGGTTTCTCTGTGGCTTTGGAGGCTGTCTTAGAACTAGCTCTTGTAGACCAGTCTCGAACTCATAGAGATCCACCTGCCTCTGCCTCCTGAGTGCTGTGACTAAAGGTGTGTGCCACCACCCCCCAGCTTGAGAAGAGTTTCAATGTAAGTATACCTCCTTGAGCACACGGGATTGTGTTACACCAGGAAACTTTCTTCCAAGTTGTACTGTGCTTAACTGTGCCTACACTATACTGACTCTAGAAGTTTGAATTAACAACGGCTATTGAGTCGTGTTGAACTGGATTTCCTTCTTGCCTCACATGGATTGTTTTCTGCTGACCATGGCGTTTGCAGAGACACCTCCCCCACCCCACATACATGGCATTGACCATTGTCCAGATACATTAACCAAAATAGTTGTCAAGTTATGTCTAAAATAACTACTGTGCTCTGCCAGGAACTAACATGTCAAGGTTACTCTGACCTTCATCTAACTTCGATGTATCTTTGTGCTGTTTTGTCTTTAAAATTTGTGTCCTGAATTTGGGCACCAAGAAAATTTTCAGGGCCACAAGCCCACTTCTTGGTTGGGCCATCAATAAAAAAAGACTTAGAAGTTTAATTGGCTTAATCAGTTTGGTGTCAATAACTATCTTTCAAGGATCATTACATTCTTTCAGAGGGCCCAGATTTGGTTGTCAGTATTCACATGGCAGCTCACAAACATCTCTAGTTCCAGGGGATCCAATGCCGTTGCCACCTGGCCTCCTCGGGTACCAGACATGCAGTGCACTTACATACATGCAGGTACAAAAAAGAAAATGTGCACTTACATATGTGCTCATGAAATAAAAATAAGTTTGAAGAAAAAAAACTTTTGCCAGGCATTGGTGGTGCACATCTTTAATCCCAGCACTTGGGAGGCAGAGGCAGGCGGATCTCTGTGAGTTCGAGGCCAGCCTGGTCTCCAGAGCGAGTGCCAAGATAGGCTCCAAAGCTACACAGAGAAACCCTGTCTCAGAAAACAAAACAAATAAAAAAAAAACTTTTTGGGACAGTGTTTCTCTGTGTAACCCTGGCTGTTTTGGAACTTACTCTGTGTTACGAATACATGCGAGGGGAGACCTTTGGCAGATCCTATGGTGGATGAGGGACAAATGGAGGGAGAGAGACAGAGACTTGCAGACATAACTTATGTGGGAAGTTTATTGGGAGAAGAAAGGGAGAAAGAGAAAAAAAGACAGAGAGACAGAAACAGTAACCTGTTCCCTCAGAGAAATGCCAGAAAGAGAGCAGAAGTGGGCTGAGTTTGCCTCTTAGAAGGGACCACTGTGTAACCCTGGCTGTTCTGGAACTTGTTCGTATACTAGGCCTCTAACTCAAAGAGCTGTGACTAAGTGTTGGAATTTGAGTTCGCCACCTCTGCCGCCTGGCTACATTTTCTGTGTGTGCCACACCTAGCATTGGTTTTAGCTCCTAATGTAGACAAACCCTATACTAGACACAACTTAAACTTTGAGCTTCATATGCATTGTTGGGGGAGGTGATGATCAGAAGTTCAGTGTCATCCTCAGCTACATAGGAAGCTCTGAGGCCAGCCTGGGCTCCCAGAGATCCTGTCTCAAAATAAAATATGGCACTTTTTGCATACAGTTTTTTGAGACTGCGTTTTGCCATGTAGCTTACAAATTCCTGTGTACTAGTTGGTTTTGTGTGTCAACTTGACACAACCTACAGCCATTAGAAAGGAAGGAGCCTCAGTTGAAGAAATGCCTTCATGAAATCCAGCTGTAAGACATTTTCTCAATTAACCAATGGGGGAGGGCCCAGCCCATGGTGGGTGCTGCCATCTCTGGGCTGATGGTCCTGGGTTCTATAAGAAAGCAGGCTGAGGAGCTGGGCGTTGGTGGCACACGCCTTTAATCCCAGCACTTGGGAGGCAGAGGCAGGCGGATCTCTGTGGGTTTGAGGCTAGCCTGGAGCCAGGATAGGCTCCAAAGCTACACAGAGAAATCCTGTCTCGAAAAACCAAACAAACAACAGGCTGACCTCGAACTCACAGAGATCTGCCTGAGTGCTGGAATTAAAGTTCAACACCACTGCTATCTGGCTACATTTTCATTTTTCAAATCCACACTAATCTTTGCCCCACAAACCTCAGTGTTAGGTAACTTCATTTTTTATTACTCTTTCAACTTCAAACCCCAGCCCTATGGGCTTCCTTTGTTTCTCTGTTCTCTGGTGACCTCTCTTTCCCAATCCCAGCTCTCTCATTCTCACTCCCTTAGGGGGTTCAGATTTCTACCCCACTTGGGTAAGAAATATCCTTAACTAAGACTCACCAGATTCAAGTTCAAACTTTTAAAAGCTCCTCAGGGACATGTCCACAGTAGCTGCAATGCCACAAAAGCACTTAGAAACACAAAGATTAACACTTTTTACTGTTTACTGAAGACAATTCCCTTGGAAGCCCCACAGAATCCCCGTGTATGAAATCTGGATATCCACTGGCATCATTTAAAGACTTTTGGGTAAAGTCCTAGAAAGGAACCATAATACCTCCTCCATCATCCATTTGGGGCTTACTTCTGGGCCACAATTCTGCTCTAAGAGCTGAAAACTGTCACATGCCTCAAGAGGTTCTTTCTCTGGTGTTATAAATTGGGACCATAAGCTTTTTGAATGCAAAGAATTGTCTATTTTTGTAACCCACAGTCAGGTACCTGATATAGGACCCAGGGCACATTTCCAGAAGCATCCCTTAAACTGTATTCTTTGCAAATAATGGCAAGCCACTAGGGAGCACAGTATATTCAGTATGTGCTTGTTGACAGAATTAATGAGGCATATCCATTTTCCAAGGTTGACATCACTTATATTAAGACACTCTGCAACTGTCAACCATCAGACTAACTTAAGAGACTGTTGCAGGTTGCTTAGGAGAGCTAGCACAAGATCAGGGGATAAACAAAGCTGTTGTAGTCATGGTCAGAGCCTGGACCCTGACAACCCTAACAAACTAGGCTTGACCACCTATCTTCAGTAGGCCAATTGGAGAGACAAAGCAATAGCAAAAACCAGGCAAAGGGCATTTATTCAATGTGACCATGTTAGGAAGAGAAACAAAGAGGTCCAGTGGCCCCATATTTAGGGTCTTGACATGAAATTTAGGTGTTCTTATTTATTTTTTAATGTATATGGGTATTTTGCTTGCATGTATGTCTTTGCTCCACAGGTGTCCTACTGCCCACAGAAGCCAAAAGAGGGTGTCTGATCCCCTGTAAATGGAGTTATAGATGATGTTTAAGCCTGGGTCCTTTGGAAGAGCATCAAGTGCTCTTAACCACTGAGATCTCTCCAGCCTCTAGGTTTCAGTTTAAACAGACAGCCAGACAGCTAAGGTAGGACTGGAGAGATGGCTCAGTAAATAAGAGCATGTACTACAAGTGTGTGTGTGTGTGTGTGTGTGTGTGTGTGTGTGTGTGTGTGTGTTTGAGACAGAGTCTCATTGTGTGGCTCTGGCTAGCCTGGAGCTCTCTATGTAGACCAGGATGGCCTTGAACACATAAAGATCCACCTTCCTCTTCCTTCCCAGTGCTGGATTAAATATGTATGCCTCCATACCTGGCTGTACTGCTCTTGCATAGAACTGGATTTAGTTCCCAGCACCCACACTGGGTGTCTCACAAGTTAACTCCAGCTCCAGAGGATCTGATGGCTTCCATGGGTACATGCACATATCTACACAGATTTTTTTGTTGTTTTGTTTTTCAAGATAGGGTTTCTCTGTGTAGCCTTAACTGTCTTAGATCTAGTTCTGTAGACCAGGCTGGCCTTGAACTCACAGAGATATGCTTGCCTCTGCCTCCTGAGTGCTGGAATTAAAGGTGTGTACTACCACACACCTGCACTACACACAGATATTTATGTACACAAATAACTTTTTAAAATAAGTAGATTGCTGGCGCTGGTGGCACATGGCTTTAATACTAGCACTTGGGAGGCAGAGGCAGGTGGATCCCTGTGAATTCGAGGCCAGCCTGGTCTACAGAGTGAGTGCCAGGACAGGCTCCAAAGGTACACAGGGAAACCCTGTCTCAAAACAAAACAAAATAAAACAAACAAAACAAAACAAAAAACAGAAACAAAAAACAAACCAAAACAAACCAAACCAAAAGACAAAAACAAGTAGATCTTTAAATAGAAAGGTATGAGGTGGGCGTTGGTGGCACATGCCTTTAATCCCAGCACTTGGGAGGCAGAGGCAGGCAGATCTCTGTGAGTTGGAAACCAGCCTGGTCAACAAGAGCTAGTTCCAGAAACCCTGTCTTGAAAAACCAAAACAAAAAACAAAAAACAAAAAAAAAAGAAAGAAAGGGTGTGTATTAGTTCCTGTCATTTTGATGATTTTGTAGTGTCTAGTGTTTTTAGTTCTTCTTGGTTAATCACTATGTTAATGCTGTTTATTTTGTTTCCTGTAGCTTTTAGAATGTGTTTATTCTTCATTTCAGTCTGTAGTATTCCTGTTAGTATCCTCTGTAGAACTCACTTCATAGCCATAAATTCTTTTAGCCTGCATTTCTTATGAAAGCTATTCTTTCATTCCCTTCATTTGTGACTCATAGTTTTGCTGGATATACTAGTTTGGGGTTGGCGCTTGTGGACTTTCAGAATGTGAAGTACATCACTATTATTTATTTTTCTTATACATAATTTATTTTTATTTCATGTTCATTGGTGTTTTGTCTGCATGTATATCTGTGTGAGGGTCTCAGAAACCCTGGAACTGGAGTTATAGACAGTTGTAAGCTGTTGGTGGTGCTGGAAATTGAACCCTGGGCCTTTGGAAGAGTAGCCAGTGTTCTTAACCACTGAGCTATCTCCTTAGGCCCATTTACATTTCTTTCAGTTTCCTTTCTACCTACCTTCTTTCCTTTTGTTTTTCTTTTTTAATATGGAACACTTCAGGAATTTGCATGTCATCCTCTCACAGGGACCATGCTAATCTTCTCTGTATCCTTCCAACTTTTGTATATGTGCTGCCGAAGTGAGCACCGTTTCTTTTCTTTTTTTTTTTTAATTTATTTTTTTATTTTTTGAGACAGGGTTTACTCTGTGTAACAGCCCTAGCTGTCCTGGAACTTGTTCTGCAGATCAGGCTGGCCTCAAACTCATAGAGATCTGCCAGCTTCTGCCTCTTGAGTGCTGGGATTAAATGTGTGTGCCACCATCACCTGACTCCTTTTTTTTTTTGTTTTGTTTTAATCTACCAGTGGCACTTAACACTGCACAGGGAGTTATGGTTCCCAGAGGTTTCTTCCAGGTCAAAGGAAGTTCCAGAAATATCTAGAGTTGCTGGTCTCTTTGTGAGAATAGGGGTAGGTAGAAGGGGGAAGCAGGTGTCTTGTCATTCATAGATCCAGTTCTGTGCACAGCTCTTGTAATTCCCCAGCTCCTCTGGATGAACTACAAGCTCGCCTCCTTCTCTGCTATGAGTGATGTTCCTGCCAACTTGTATGCAGAAGCCTCCATGGATGGTCCCAGGTTCAGAGTCTGCAGGGTTGGTCTCTCTGAGCATCACCCAGCCTGTCTTCACAACATTCAGCCCCTCCCAGACCCTAGCAACCACTGGTCCTGAGTGCATGGATTTCACCAGGCCAGTAAAGAAGGGGCGGTCCTTCAGGTCGACGCAGTGCTTCTTGAGAAGGTCCTCTGAACCCGAATGCATTCCAAACCAATAAGGCAGAATCCCTTTGGTTCAAAATGCTTGATGCCCTCTCCCATGAGCTCCCACTGCACCCCTTCAGGCTTGATAGCAATGAAGTTGCACTTACTGTTCACCATGGTCCCCTTCAGAATCCAGGTCTTAAACTCGGCTGTAACTCAAATTCTTTGGGATTTTATCTATGCTGTTCTCACTGTTGGCCATTACTATGGGTACTATGGGATGCTTGAAGTTTAGTCTTGGGGCCCCATGTATTGCCTCTTGATTGGGGTAGTTGAGGTAGTGCCAGCTCAGCTAGGGGCAGGTGTGTTTCTGATATCACTAGTGGGTGATCTGAGGGGGTTAGATAGGCAGGGCTGGCATGGATGTGGCATAGGTAGGTGCTCTAAGTGGGTACCTAAAACCGGGGAGTTGGGATGTGACATAATGGTGGTAGCCTCTGACCTGAGGAAAGAGGCAGGTGTACCTTGTGGGTTATGATACTTTTACAAAGGTTAAGGAATTGGAGGGAGGGGATAAGACTCCGGAGGTTAAGGAGTCAGGGTTGGGAGGCAGTAGATGTGTGGACTCTGAGATGCTGGGGACAAGGCCCATGTAGGTCCTGCAATGTTGGAGGGTAGCGTGCTAGAGGGCAGGAGATGTGGCCTTTGACCTAGGTGCAAGTTCTGCTCAGGTCCTGAGATACTGGTGAGTGAGCTGCTCATGATTTCTGTACATTTGGGGTTAGGGTACCAGAGGGAGGGAGGGAGATGTGGCCTCTGATCTGGGGAGTGTGCTCCACTTGGGTTCAAAGGTCCTGGGAAAATGAGCTCCAACTGAGTCCAGAGGGTAGAAGATAAAGCTTCTAACCTGGAAAGCTGGGCCTGAGGTTTTCTGAGGAACTGGGAAATGAGTTCCATCCAGGTTAGGATGCCAGACGGAGGATGTGTGACCTCTAACTTGGGAAGCAAGTTTTTTTCAGGTCTTGAGACCCAGGGAGGGCTCACGTATTCTCTTTTGTTTGTATATTGAGTCTTTTGAGTCACGGTTTCCCTTTGTAGCCCTGGCTATCCTGGAATTAACTCTGTAGACCAGGCTAGTGTGGCTCCCATGCCATGACTAAGTCTAAGTATCAGGTGAAAGCCTGTAGATTTAAATGAAAGACAAGACGTCCAGCTGTTTGTACTAAGAGTGTGTGTGCCGGTCGCTGTTTTTTGCAGGGAGGGAGCAGCCTTATCTACAGACTTACAGCACAGTAGAAAACCCCTAGGTGTAAGAGCTTGTGAGGTATGGCTGGGGCAGGACCAGAAAACAGGATGCATCTGTGGTTACCTACTCACGGGGACACCTTAGGGACTGGGGCCCAGCATTTCCCAACATCTCTCTCAACAGGATAGCATCAAACTCAGAGATCTGCCTGCCTCTGCCTTCTAAGTGCTGGGATTAAAGGCTTGTGCCACTACCACCTGACATATATTCTTAATTGTGCATAAGAGTTTCTGAAAAGCATCCACCTAGTCTAGGATGGAGATCACCACAGATTCCCATAGACAAAGATGGAGACACCACAGATCCCCATAGACAAGGATGGAGACACCATAGTTCCTGCAGACAAGGATGGAGACACCATAGATCCCCAAAGACAAGGATGGAGACACCATAGACCCCTGCAGACAAGGATGGAGACACCATAGATCCCCATAGACAAGGATGGAGACACCACAGATCCCTGCACACAAGGAGCAAATATGAGGTTACCAAGAAGAGCTGCAGCTACATCCTGGTAGCTGTGGTAAGAGTTGGCTCTCTGTGGGCAATAAAGCTTGTGGGTTCATGGTAAACTACAATCTGGTTATGTAACTGGAAACAAAGGAAGCATGTTCTATTTAATGGCTAGCAGGCTCTGCCCAGAGACCAGTAACACCTTCAACTTTGGTGGTTCAAAGTGTCATCCAAGGTTAGTGGTGGCCAGCAGAATAAGCCAAGGTCACCAACTAGCAAATCAAAGATGGACTGGGGGAAGCAGTGGGCTAGTGTATGGCTCAGAAGGTAAAGGTGCTTGCTGCCAAGCCTGTTGATTTAAGTTTGATTCCTAGGATCCACATGGTAGAAGGAGAGAACCAATACCCAAAAGTTGGCCTCTGACTTCTACCCAAAACACTCTGGTGTGTACATGTATGCACACACACATGCATGCTCACTCAAATACGCATACACAAATACCTAAAAAAGTTGAAATGGAAATAGTGGGCTTCAGTGTGTGACCACCATCATAATTGAGTGAGAAGCACGTGAATGGCATAGGATCATCTCTGTGGTTAGTCCACATACCAAGGGCATGTTAGTCCCTGTTAGCTTAGCCTGTGATATGCTCAAAGAAATAGCCAACTTAATAGAAATTACCTGTCTTTCTCCAGTCTCTGTCATGTTCTGTAAAAAGTCTCTAGACAAACAGCTCAGTGGCAACTCCCTTCAGCTGCTCTCCTTATGCCCCAAAGTCTTAATCTTTCCTGCAATAATCCTACACAGGAGCTCTGATTGCTTTCTCTACATTAAATCCTTAAGGTTTCTATAATAAAACTTTTAAAACTCATCCTTTGTTGTCCATCAATTTTTCTCCCCCAGTTTTTGAGACAAAGGACCCAGAACCACTGATTCAATGGAGGTTTTGGTGACCATGAATTTGCAGCAGCTTAACTTTGGGGTTATGTACACTTGAGACCAGAAAGTCTGTCTTTTTCAGGGATTCCCCATCTCCCCCATTTCAGGGACAGGGACATTTACCAACATCTTGCTGTATGTGAGTCGGGGATTTGTGTTTTCTAGAAATCTCCAGGAGGCAGCAAAGAACCAAGACAGGAAACTGGCCCAGCCATGACCAAGCTGCCTAGTGATAACCTGGAGGTCCCCTGGGGTCTGAGACTCACAGCAGCGGTCAGGGGTATGTGTTGAAGTCTGGGAGGCAGAGATGGTGTAGGTAGAGCCTGGTGTGAGTGCTAGACCCAGATGAAGTGGTTTCCTCCCAGTAATAACAGAGGAGACGCCAAACAGAGTTACATGTACATACCTATGACTCCAACTTCAGGAGAAAGTGAATAATGACCAAAGTGGCCATTGCAGAGAAAAACATGAGGGTAGACAATGGCAAAAGGGCCATTGTCCGTCCTTTTAAAAATAAATGTCCCAGGCCAGATGGTGGTGGCACATGCCATTAATACCAGAATTTAGGAGGCAGAGGCAGGTGGATCTCTGGGAGTTTGAGACCAGCCTGGTCTATAAAGTGAGTTTCAGAACAACCGGGGATACACAGAGAAACCCCATCTCAAAAAACAAAACAAAACAAAACAAAAAACAAAACCAAAAACCAAAAAAAAAAACCAAACATGCTCCTAAGAGCAGAAGCTCTAGTTTTCCAGCAGGCCACTCCGAGCCAGGCTAGATGCAGACTTCCTCACAGGCTGTTGGCAGAGAGACCATGACAGAGGAGACAGAAAGGAGAAAGGACCCAGCTCTGGTGGCTCCTGAACACAAAGGTCTAGGGAGAAGGACAGGGACCGGCTAAGTGACTTCTGGGTGGGAGGGACAGGGAAGAGGGAACCAAGGCAGAAAGGAGCCCCCAGCCAGCAAGAGGGGCGTGTTGGAAACTTCACCTGGCATAAGAGAAACAGGGAAAGTGGGCAGGGAAAGCAGTCAATCTTAAACAGGGCCAGGGAACCAGGGAAAGAGTGACAGAGAGAGGTAAGAGGTAGGAGGGAGAGAGGTCTGGAATCTCCTGGAATTTAGGAGGAGCCTGCTTTTCCTAAACCCTCCCAGAATTTGACCTATTTTCTGTTACCCAAGAAACTCAATAATAATCTTTGTGACATTCCTATTAATCATCAACTTGACAGAATCTATAATCACTTAGGAGTTGGGCCTCTGGGAATGCCTGTGGGAGATAATCCTGATTGAAGACTCAACTTAATTGTGGGTGGGACTTTTCCTAAGCCGGGGATCCTAGACTGTAGAGAAAGCCATCCCATCACTGGCTCGCATGCATTCCGTTTTTCTTTTCTTCTGACTGCAGACTTCCTGACCTGCTGCTTCAAGTTCCTGTGGCCTTGACCTCCCAGTCATGACGGACTGTACCTTGAACTGCGAGCTAACATGAACTCTTAAGTTGCTTTCATCAGTTTTTTTTTTGTTTTGTTTTTTTGTTTTTTTTAATAATAGCAACAGAAAATGAAAGTAAGACAGCCCTTCAAAGAGTCCATCGCGGGTCAGCATGGTGGCCTGATAGAAGGCTGGATTTCTTCCTTAGTTACTTTTCTGTTACTGTGAGAGACACCATGACCAAGAAAACTTTTGCGAG